ATGCTTTGCGTTCCCGTTAGGGGGTAAAACCGGTCCTGAGAAGGTGGCAGTGAGTGAAACGTGCCCGTTTGCAGTGCGGGAGTGAACTGGGAGGGTGGCGCCTGGCCCTGGTGAAGTCAGTCGCTAGCTGGGCATGAGCTAGTTAGGATTTCTCTGGGTGTCTACTGCTCATAGTTACAAGTCAATTTGGAAGGGAAGTGGCAATTAAATCAAAAGTGAGCAAACACGGCGTCTTAAATTTACTTACATGGAGGAAACACATCTTCTTTAAACATGCTGTGTCTAGGGGGCAAAAAAAGGCGAGCAGGCTTTGTATCTAGAGTTGTCTGGTGTGTTGAACAGAATAAACATCTATAGTCAATCTGTGGTCTGCTGTTTCCCTCTAAAACACCAGAATTGGTTCTCCTGCCTGACGCTTGAATATCAAGCTGCTGCTCCCCCTTTTTTTGAGCCTGTTTTTTTTCAGCTTTGACTGCATCAGTGCTTGAACTGAACCAGCTGAATATCCTCAAAAGAAGGAAATGGTTGCTGTAAGGTGTACGTGCAGAAGAGTTTACTCCCATCAAAAGTTAACTTAATACTGAAGATCAGTCATTACTTTTTTTTTTTTTTTTTTTTTTAAATCCAGTTACTGGTTGGGCTTTTTTCAAAATGATAAAGTCAAAGCTGTATTTCTCATGCTACTTTAGTAAGTTAATGTGCACTCTAATGTAGTTTTTACATAAATCAAAGGAGGTTTCTATATAGAATTTTAAAGAAAAAACACTTTAATCCATTTTCAGATAACCATCTTTGTCCATCTGAGGGTGAAATTTTCTTCTTTGCTATTTGCAGTTACTGTCACTTTGACATACATTCAGAGAGGAGCTATGTCCAATGTAAGAGTGGCTGTGGTGACCGGATCCAACAAAGGGATTGGATTCTCAATTGTGCGGGCTCTGTGCCAGCAGTTTCCAGGGCATGTATACCTAACAGCCCGAGACCCTGGCCGTGGCCAGGAAGCAGTGAAAAAGCTCGAGGAGGAAGGGCTGCATCCGTTCTTCCATCAGCTGGATATCGATGATCTGCAGAGCATCAGAGCTCTCCGTGTCTTCCTAAAGGAGAAATACGGAGGGCTGGATGTGCTGATTAACAATGCAGGGATCGCCTTCAAAGGTAAGGAAGCACACTGTCTGGGATAGTACAGTGTGCTGCAAAGCTGTGAGGAGAAGTGTAGCAGATTCATCAGAGATGTTACAAAGCTTATTATATGGGACTTCTGTGTCAATGGCATGCTACCTTTTTGGCTGGGCAAGCTATTGCCTTAAGCGTGATGAGAGGGCAATGTGAAATGGCTTTTCTTCTAGCATCTGTTGGGCTAACTGTGCATGTAAAGACGCTTCTCTGGAGTACTGTATTTGCATCACGTAGAGAGTGTGAAAATACTTTAGGCACACAGTACTCATGACCAGAGTTGTGTTTATTGCCTCAGTGCCCATGGGTTTCACCACACCTGAGGGAGCCCATCACCTGTGTCAATATCAGCCGTGTTCCTCAGGGAACACATGTGTTTTCTCTCTTCTGCAGAGCTCATATTTTGCTCTATGCATTACCTGCTCAAGGATTCCAGTTGATAAAAAAGATCCTTTGGCCTTGTGTGATTTTGTCGTCTTTACTTCAGGCCTTTCAGTTACCCATGGATCTGTTAACCTAAGCCCTGAGGTGCTGAGCAAGAATGTAACACTTTCCTGTTCTAGAAAACAGGAAGGCAGGGAATGTGAGGAACACGCAGCAGTTGTAAGGTAGAAGAGTGCATTATCCTCATAGGTGTTTATGAAAACAAGTTGAGAATCATGTTAGCTCCAGATAGAGCAGATCATAAGCATGACTACTAGTTTGTTTCCCTACCAATACAAACTTGTTCCTTTCATATTTTCTTTTTGCTTGGATTTTTTTGGTTTTGTTTTTTAAATCTCTTTGCCTATTCTCCGGTTAGGACATGTAACTGTTCAAACAGTGTTGTGCTGACTAATCTGCTCACAACATGAGTTAAAGAGGCCTGTCAGGTAATATGGATCAAACCTCACCTGCTGCTGAAGATGGAGCTTCTCACGTAGTGCGAGTGCAGCAACAGTGTTCTGAAGTCCAGGCTCTGTATATTTTGCATGGTACTTTGCGGGAAGGTTGCTTGTGTTCCAAGATTAGCTCACCAGGGGGCAACTCAATATAACTGAGCTTCAGGATGTCAAGAGAGGTGTTAAAACCTTGTAGCAACAGTTAAAAGATTGTATCTCTGTCCATACTTATTTATAAAGCCTGGGGGTGCTCAGACCAGTATTTCTTCTATTTATAATCAGGGTCTTAGCTCAAGCTTCTAGTGACAATGAGCTGGAACAAGGCTGGGCAATTGAAGTACAGTGTGTGTTTCTGGTGCTGACTGTTCAGCTGTAGCCGCCATCAGGGTGGATACCAGGACATACAAAATAAAAATTCCTCAAATTGCTGCAGCAAGATTTGCTAGAGCTCATCTGTGAGACAGCTAAGATTTATTATCAGGGGGCCACCAAACAGGTAAATAGGTAAAATAGTGTAAGCAGTAAAGTTTCTGTTACTTTTTTTACTACATCATGGATTCTTCTATTCAGACTTCTAGATGTTTAGCCTAGTCTTGCTTCAAGCTGACAACTCACCATGAGTCAGCAGTAGGTCATATAATTAAGAAATGTGATAAAGAAGTCAGTTGTAACTGTTGTTGCGTAAGTATCTAGCACAGAAGCTAGAGGGTTTTACACCTGTGTAATAACTTGCTGTGATGGCTATCTCCTATTTTGGTTGTAATTCTAGCTTCTGAGATTGGCTTTTCTACCCAAGCTTACTTCTTGCCTCACCAAGTTTCTGCTATCATCCCAGAATTTATGCTTTCCTTTCTTTATTGTAGCATTATGCGTTATTGCTGGCTGTCAAAGATTAGATTTGCCATTAAATTTAACTTATTGTTCTGTTTCTGTGCTGTACTACAGATAGTACAGCAAAAACTGTTCCTGTACAACATGATTATGTACATGTGGGTTGCCTTCTGGATAAGCTTCTGTGAGAACAGTTATTCTAGTAATATTTGTTAAATCAAGAAGGTATCGGATGTTACAAGCAGTGTATCTTGTTAGACAAATGAATACAGGAAAGCTTTTGCCCTTTTCCAAGGTGGATACAGAATCAGGAGTTCGGAGTTGTGTAGGTTTTTAGTCTCTTCTCCCACTGTCGTTAACTCTTGCAATAGATCATGATCTGGCTTCATGTCACAGATTTAAATGCAAGTGATTTGCAAAACTTGATGCCATCAGTGCCCACTGCTTGAGAGTATAAATGAGTAAGTTGTTAAAGCTGTTTTTTGCAACAAAACCACAACTATGTTGAATACTAAATGACCTGTCACTGCTTTTCTTTTGAGTTAACATAGGTCTGGGCCATGGAGACAGGTGAAGACCTGCCTAATCTATGCAGGTGGCCTTCCTCATGCCAAAAAGAGAGCCTGTAGCAGAAGACGAGGAATGATGTTACTTTAACTCTTATTTCCCCCTCAAAGTGGAAGATGAATATGGCTTATTGCTAAGCCAGATTGTCAGCTGATGGCACATACTACCCCACTTTTGGTGGTGGCAAGCTGTCAATTCTCTCTGATGAAATCATGATGTTACAGTGCAGTTCTGTATCTGCTTATGCTTGCCTAAATCAGCTCCCTTTCGTAGCTGCTAATTCCCACTCCTTTTCTTGTATTAGCACAGATCTGTCAGTTCAGGGGGTGGTTTATGACATGAGTATTTATGAGTTTTGGAGTTGGTTTGGGTTTTTTTGTTTGTTTGGGTTTTCATTTGGGGTGGTGGTTGTTTTTTGGGGGGAGAGGAAGAGGGTGTTTTGTTTTGTTTTTCCAAAATGCGCAAGATCTTACCCCTGTAGTCTTTATGGAAGCTTTTACAGTGTTTGTTGCAGTTTGACACTGCTCCAACTGCAAGCCCCAGCTAAGAACCCAAGACATGGCAACATAAGAATTGGGATACAGAAGCAGTTGTCTGCCTTGTTGGTGGATGTTAGTACTGGGGTGATATTCTAACTTTTGCCCCTTTAGTGGCAACATCCTAAATTGAGCATTTTCCTTTTGGGTTGTCCCTCGCCTGGTATGTCAGGATTGTGGCAAAGTGCTGTGCTATGCGTTTAAGAGGAGAGGCCACCTCTAAGTTCACTTGAATGAGGTGGTAGCAGCACAGACTCTGTGTGCTGGGTGCCAGTAGGTATGGGCAGGCCGGTGAGCAGGTTGGGCAGAAGATCCTGTGAGAGCAGTCTTTCCTTTTCTCTTCCATATGAAAGGCAGAAAGACAAATGGCCTGTAGGTTAACAGATGACTCTACAGAGCTATACAACTAGCTTTCCTGGAGCAAAGCTAAACCCTTTGGCTAAGGAGAGGTGAAAACATAATTAGCTCATTATTACTATAATATTGCAAAGTGAGGTCTTTTCGTTAATAAGAATATGAGTGTTAATAATGTTGCTCTTTTTTTTTCCCCCCTCCATTTTGTAAGTGAATGACACAACTCCATTTGCGGTCCAAGCTGAGGTTACACTGAAGACAAACTTCTTTGGAACCAGGAATATTTGCACAGAATTGTTGCCTCTTGTGAAGCCTTATGGTAAGTGTAACATTAACAAGTAGAGAAATAGTCTTACGTGAATTCTGGTCTTCATTAGATGGTAAATCCTGTTCAGTCTCAGTTACACACTGCCCCATAGCAAGAGGAGTATATCTTGCTGTATTGTATGAGTGTGTTAATAAAGTCATTAACAGAAAGGATTAATTTCTGTGGCTTTTAAGATCTAAATCCTCTTGTTCATTCCCTAGTTCATAGCCTGAAAGGCTGTAAATTAGCAAAAAACAGGGAAACAGCACAACATAAGTTTGGATATAAGTGAATTACTGACTCAGCTGATGCATTATTCTGTACTGAAGTGCTGGGAGATAAATAGCTTACTGCAGTTTTGCATGCTGACATTTGTAAATCCTCATGCATTCTGTAAACAAGCTGATAGGGTCTCTGCATTAAGAACTAGATTGCTCTTGTTGAATTCTGTATTATTCTGGGGCTTTTGAGGTATATTCTCACAGAACTGTATTTGAGCTGTTAAAGAAGTGAGAATATTTTCCACCAGTACTTTGAGAGTGAAGTCTGGCTGCTGTTACTGGGAAAACCACTTAGTACCATGAATATCCTACAGATTGTACCAGGAGATTTCCTGGAAGCATACCTGAAGTTTGATAGAAAGTTTTTGCAGATTCACACCTTAACTTACCCTCTGTAATGAAATTAACTAGAAACACTTGTCAGCAAGGTGATCTGCCAGAAGCTCTGCAAAATAGCCCACACAAAATATTTTACAGGTATTCACCTAAGCAGTGAATATGTAACTGTAGAACAGGCCCACTTCAGTGTCTGGGCTTGTTTAGCGTATATAAAAGTAATTGGTGTTTACTCTCTTTTGACAGGTAGAGTGGTGAATGTCTCTAGCATGGTAAGTCAGTCAGCTCTGGGAAAGTGCAGCGGAGAACTACAGCAGAAGTTTCGCAGTGATACCATCACTGAGGATGAGTTAGTGGAACTCATGACTACATTTGTGGAAGATGCCAAAAAAAGTGTGCATGAGAAAAAGGGTTGGCCAAATACTGCCTATGGGGTATCCAAAATTGGTGTCACAGTCTTGTCCAGGATTCAAGCCCGGATGTTAAATGAGAAAAGAAAAGGTGACCACATCCTTCTCAATGCCTGCTGTCCTGGATGGGTTAGAACAGACATGGCAGGTCCTAAAGCCCCTAAATCACCAGATGAAGGGGCTGTGACCCCAGTTTACTTAGCCCTTTTGCCTTCAAATGCTGATGGTCCTCATGGCCAGTTTGTTAGTGAAAAAACTGTTCAAACCTGGTAAGCTTGTGTATGTGGATCCATGAAGTGGTAATATGACTGTGGATTCACCTGTTCCTTGGTAGGGCATTTAGCCAGAGTACCCATTTTGTCCCCTGCAGCAGTAGGGTCCTTTACCACTACAATGAGGGTTTACAGTTACAGCACTCCTCAGGTGTTGAGTCTACACTAGGGCACACTTCCCAACAGCCTCCATTAGCCTGCTCACAGCATTGGTGTAGCCCAGAATCTGGTTTGTGGGTGTTCCAGCCCAGGTGATGCAGGCTAATTTTATGTTGGCCTAATGTAGATGTACCTCACCTTGTTTACCTGATTTTTAGTCTTAATTAAATCATTGCCAATCCTTCTCCCACTGCCCCCCAGACAGATTTCTGACATGGAGTTGGGATGAGGGAGCAGATGCCTTATGCTTTTTCAGCACAATAGAGCTCTTTCTGGGGACCATAGTTGCTTTTGGAGGTTGTATGTGGCTTCTTAAAGGGGGAGGCAGTTGTTCTTAGACCTACAGAAACACCAGTTTAGGGGAAGACTAAGAAGACCAAAGGAGACCCACTGCTGTATAGATACTTCTTGCCATCAGTACAAAATGGAATCGGGTAAAAATAAAAATCACTGTGATATGCCATTAATAGGAAAACTTAATCAGTTGCCTCTATTAATATGTCTGCTAATCATTTGGCTCTGTTAATATGTACAAGAATAAATGATTACATACTGATTTGTATTCATCCAACTGGCTTACTCCAATATTAAAAATTTATGTTTGAAAGTACCATTAACTGTTTTCTGTGGCTAAGTTTGTAGGTGGAATGTATGTTCAGAGATAGCAAATTACAGATCTGATACAGCAAACGATTTCTCAGAACTTCCAGTTCACTTATTGCACAGCTGGATGTTTCCTTATTAAAAGCCTTTCTAATAAGGAAAAAGGAAAAACTAAAGATTAAGTGCTCTTCATGTAGTAGAGAAAATGTAAATGTTACAATGCAGGATAGGTGTGAAATACACAATTATCATGGCAATCAAAAGAAGTTATCCAAGCAAAATCACAAGTAGAGGAAGCGGTGATGTGGAGAGCACCAAATTTGCTTTCTCATTTTTAGTTCTAGTTATTGCATTTCAAATACTCTTGGGTTGCCATGGCATTTCAAGCTGTGGTGGTGGTGCTGGGTGGAAGCAGGGGCAGCCTGAGGGCAGGGCACCTGGGGCAGCACCAGGCTGTGGAGCAGCTGCCTGCAGGGGGCTGGAGTAATGAGGGCTGTAACCAAGTAGCTCTCCACCATGTCCTGCCAGCCAGCATGAAAGCTGTGGCGAAGCCCTGGTGGAGCCCTCGGAGCCCTGTCCCTTCTTCTGTGCAGGGCAGATGCCCACACTGCTGCTTTGGGCAGCAGGAGGCCACTGCCCTCTTCTTGCTGTGAGAAACTAAAGGAGCTGGAAACAATTGCCTATATGGCTGTTATTAGTAATGATAGATTGGTAATATACATGTTAGTTCTTAATGAGGAGTTGGCAAGACAGTGCTAATGTGACTTAGCTGAATGGTGTTTCTATTAGTTTCCCCAGTACAATTTATGTTCTGGGAAGCCTTGGAGTGAAAGACTTTGGACATAAATAATGTGTGGCTATCACTTATCACATGGAACACAGGCGTGACTGTTAGTTGGTCTTTTAAGGATACAGTACCTATTGTTTTTATGAAGACTGAAGTATTGCCAGATGAGTCATGCCCCAGAGCTTGTTGGGGAAGGGTGAGTGTTGCCCCAAAAGTTCTCATGGTAATTTATTCTCCATGAAGAAGAAAAATCTCGGAGGCCTTTAGGAGGGCAACAGACCTGTTCGAAATTGCTGTATAGTTCTTAATGCATTTTATGTGCTACCCGCAGGCTGCCTGCAGCATAATGGCTCCAAGAGCCATGTGCTTAATACAGTAACTTGACGTACAAAATGAAGATCCATGTATATGCTTTTGTAGTTGTGTTAATGGTATCTCAATAAAATAAAATGGGGCTGTTCTGGTGTTGTAATCATTTGTGCATAACTGTAAGAGATGTAATCCAACAGTGGAGAATCATCCCTAGTTCTCCAGACTTGAAATCCTCTTTTAGCCATGAAGTTTCAAAAGTTGCATGGCCTTTCAGTTGTCATGGGCAAACTTTCCAAACAAACCATGCCCCAGCTTTCATGTGGCTTGTGTAAAGACCACACTGTAAGAGTGCTGTGTATGTTTATTGTTGCTGGGTAGCATCCATTGTTAAACACAGATTAATTTCTAAATACCCCCTGTGCTCTATAAAGCTTCTTTTTAGGCTTAACTTGGGATCTCTTTTTCTTATTGGGAGAGTGGGTTTTTTTTTTACATTCAAGCCGAACAGGCCATAAGTTTATTTCAGATTCTTATATTAAGCCCTTTCACAGCACCTGTTCTTTGTTAAACCTTCTTACCCTGTTTCAGGGGAAGGAAGCAAAGTGGAAGGTGATGGCTAAGTAGTCATCTGCAGAAATGTCATTTCTCCTGGTGAAATTAATTATAGTACAGACAGCTTCTCCTGGTATGAACAAAAGGAAAAGCAGAGGACAGATCTTTTCACAGCCTTTGCAGCAGTGGAAGGACAATCAGCTGTGTGGAGAGGTACAACCTCAGCTCTAGGAGGTGGAAACGAGGCAGAAAATTCTGGCTGTTGATGGGACTGGTCAGAGTTGGGAAGGAGCTTATGCAGGAGGAGCATGTATCCATGTGAGGTGACACTGGGTAGGAAGGAGGGCTGTGTCCTGGGAAGAAAGCTGAGACTTGCACAGAGCGTGCAAGAGACCCTAAGCACAGGCACACTGCCAGGGGAGGGCTGTTTGCTGAGAGCAGCACTGGAGGACAGGCTGTGCTGCATGTGTGGCAGGCTGGATCTTTGGACAGGGCTTGTATTGTTCAACCAAAATGGTGATTTTTTGCTTTTGTTTTCTTTTTTAAGCTGCCTCCCTGCTTCTCTCCCATGTCCATTTTGTCGGAAGTATTTTTCTGCTTTCAGATTCTGGCACACTTGCTGAGCAGTTATTGTGCAAAGTTTAGGGGTTAGGAAAGGGATAAAATAAGTAATGATCTGTTGTACTGTATAAAAGTTTTACACATGATTTACTCTTTTTCTTTTCACCGCATGTCACTACCATTTGTGCTTTGGAATTTATGAGCCAAAGAAAATGCTTGGCTGCGCAGTAGCCGTGGTGACATGGGACAATAAAGGAATTGGATTCACAATTGTGAGAGCTTAGTGGAGGCAGTTTCCTGAGGATACCATAGCCGCAGTGGCAAAGCTTTGGGAGTCGAAGCTGTACCTGCTGCCATATCAGCTGGGTATAAATGGTATGCAAAGCCTATGGCACTTTCTGAAAGAAAAGCCACAGACATCACAGTGTGCTGGTTAGCAAAACAGCCAGTGTTTTCAAAGGCTGTAGTAGGCCAGCTGTTTGGCAGAGCTTTACTTTGGAAAGCCAGTGATCTGAAGGTGTGGGGGCAGTAAGTAAGGAGACAGGTCTGCCCTAAAACTTTCTGAATGTAAAGGGGATTACCACCAGGTTGTTTCTATCTGGGTCCCCTGCAATGCTGATGACTGTAGTGTGGGACAGACTTTTGGATCTGTGATGGTTCCACAGCTGTGTAGTGCAGTGCATTTGTTTTCAAAACGGCACTGTAGACGTTCCTAGAGAGTTTGATGTTAGTTTACCTAAAAAGATGAAGAGAATATACCCAGCTCAACATGTTGTTTCATTAAATTTTTCCATTTAAGTGTTTTGCTATATAAATAATGAAGATGACAAGAACGCTTGATAATTTGTTTATGTTCACAGATAATTTTAATTAAATCCATCTCTAATAGTAGCATAACCCAACATTCAGGTAGTGTCCTGACTTTGTGGCGCTCCTCTCAGCCTAAAAATGTATCAAGAAAATTTAGATTATATATGCCATCCAGTATAACTTAAAACACTTAAATGCAGAATATAATTCAAACGCTAGTCTCATGTTAGTAGAGGAATGTTTTTAGCTTTTTAATTTCAAATAATGAAAAAAACATGATGATTTACAATGGGAATTCTTCAGTTTTCATTTTTGTTCTGTAAAGACTTCATTTTGGAGCTGACAATAAAGGAAACCATCAGCTGGACAATGTTCTGGTCCAGGAGGTTCGTTTTCATCGTATGTAGACCTCTTCACAATTATTATTCCTACCACGTCTGAACAAACAGCACCCAGCTTCATGTTCCCCAGTTTGGATTGTTGTCTTGTATCCTGCTCGCTGACCTACAGTTGTGGTCACTGAGCACTCTGAAAATCCTACCCTGTCTCTCTTCAGGTACATGCACACATAGTCAGACACCCTGATCTGATGGGCATTGTCTGTTTTGTTTAATTGACATTGCATTTTAGAAAGCTAAGCTGTGCTGATGCCCATGGCACTGAATATGCTTACCGCTGCGTATACCTAAGGAGAAACGTTATATTCAAGTGTTTGTTGCAGTAGGAGGAACCCCCACCTGGGTTTACAACCTGACTGACTGTGTGCTCTAATACCACTGAGAATTTGTCTTTTAAAATGATGACACATCCGTAATAAAGCTGTAAATCACTGCAGGACATTCTGATATTTTGTGACACGCATTTCCCACACCAGCTAGACATTTCTTTGAGGTTACCCAGCCTTTCAGGCACCTGCATTAACCTCAGCACTGCAAATGCCAGCTTCCCAAATGGAGGGCACATGCAGGAGCTCTGGTGTACACAGGAAAGCCTGCAAACAACTGCTCGTATTTTACAGTGAGGTAAATATGCTGGAGCTAGGCCAGCAGTGCTTTTTGGTACCTGGTCCGGCTTTTGGAGATGTACACAACAGGGGAGTGAAGGCACATGTGGAAGCCTTCCCACCTTCCCATCATGCTTCTGTCCTTCCAGCACATGCATAAAGCAGACCCATTAGCTGCCAGCAACTGTGGTTTTTATTTGCTAGAAGAAATAACATACCATATGATGTTACTAAAATCTAGCTGGGAAGGGGAAAGGGGGTGGTCTCAAAAAACAAGTGTTGTAACGTAAGACCT